TGCATGTTGTAATTAAAACATACAAGATTCAAAATGAAGAACAAAATACATAGCGTGCCATTCTTTTAAAACTTTTAGATTTTACGATCTTATAAGGAATGAATAAGGAAAACTCCTCAAAAGTTTTTATTTTCTTAAATCCCGTTATAATTCTTTCTTTTATGGAGTCCATAGTACAGATCCTTTTTTTTTTATTATTATTAAATTTCTTAACATACGTCAAAAACTTCATAAATGGCTTCCTTTTATTGTTACCTAGAACTTTTTATTTTCGAAAAAATCTCGGAAATCGGTCGTTTTCAATCTGTAGATCGATAAACTTTGTCTGTTTAATGAGGTAATAAAAACTTATGAACTCTCAGATGCTTTTCACTTGAATCGTTGGAAAATATGATTAAAAAAAAATATGAGAATAAAGGTTGCCTACAAAATATTATGTCGTATGGCGTGACCCTCAAACAGATAAAAAAAATAACGATACTGTGTAGGCCAAACGGCCCGATATTTTTGTAGGCTATCTTGTTTTACTTTCACTTACCTATATATGTAATATATTGTAAGTATTGCGATCGTGAAAATTTTTGAATACGAGTTTTCAACGAAAATACACATTTTGAGGTTCCACAACCAAGTCCTGCAAAATAGCCTCTGTGTTTGTGTGTTAACAGTCTAGCTCAAAAACGAAAAATTACACGAATGAAATTTCATATTTAAAGTGTTTATATGCTAGGCATGTTACTGCAACTTTTTCGTCAAAATCAGCTAACCGAAAGTTGCACTTTATATAATAGACTAAACACATTTTTACGATTATCTCAAAAACCGCTCCAACGATTTTGATTAAATTCATATCGGTGTGAAAATAAGCATTTCTAAATAAAATGTGGTTATTATTCTCATTGATGTTCTCTAACAGGGCTTAAATGGCTAATTTTCAATATTAGCTTCCTCTAAAATACCTTTAATTTTTTTTATTTGAAACAATTCACCATTTCGCATTAATTTTTAATATAAAAAATGGTTAAATATGAAATTATTTGATAAACAAATAAAGGAGAAATAAGAGATCATAACGGAGAATAGTTATAATTGAGGAACCAAAGGAATACGAGCGCACCCGAGCTCGCCCTAAAGATTAGAACACGCTTTCATGAGATTAATATAATACGGACTCCGACAATATTAAATAAATATACATATGTGGTTTTCATAAATGCTATTGTTGGTATTACTTAATATTTAATTGTATAGAATACAGCGATATAAATATTAAAATTTGTATATATGAGGATACTTATACAATTAAAAATACCCACAATGAAATATAAATAAATATAGAGTGTATAATTTTTACTTTCCCTTCGCTTTGTCTGAAAATACTAATTTCTGCTAAGAAGAGAGTGGTGTTTCAGGGCTCAAACTGCAAAAATGAACTAAGGATCTCAAAACAAGAAAAAATATTTCCTCTCTAGGTGTCAGCAAAGGCTTAGTTTAGGAGAAATTCACATCTGAAGATTTTTATTGTTATGAATTATTTACATTATATGAAATAAATAAAACTTGTTTATTTGTTCCAACTACTTTATTAATAAAACGCAAACATTAAATTTATATTAAATGTTGTTCAAACTGGTTTCCTTGAGCATTAAGACAGGCAACTTTCTTCAACAGCAGCAGTGACAGAACGGCACTGGATATGTGTTATTGTTTCACAAGATTTAATTATTATTCTTCTTAAGGAATTAAGGTCATTGACTCGGACTAATTAATAAAGTAGTTAGAACAAATAAATAGGTTTTATTTATTTCATATAACGTAAATAATTCATAACACCGAAATTCTTTAGTGTGAATATCTCCTAAACAAAGGGTTTATGGACATACCTTCAAAGGAATTTTTTTTCTTGTTTTGAGGTCCTTAGTTGATTTTTGTCACTTAATCCTGAAACATCCTGTGTAATAAGGGAAAGTATAGCGATTGTGAAAGATTTCGGATATTAGTTTTTTAAAGGTTCCCTGAGTTCAAATGACCAACCAATGTGTGGTATATCAGTCAGTTATAAAATAGTATGATAATATGGAAATCAGTTGAGAGATCTTTATTTTTGCTATTACTTACTTTTTGAGTTATGCGCAAATAAATTTACACTCCTTAAAAAATCGTTATTTTAGCAATGAAGGAAAAAATAATCATCAAAATGATAGCTCAATCATTGAATTTAACATAGTGTATAAACAAAAAATAAATAAATATAAAAGAATTTGTAATGATAGATATTGCAACTCTGCTCTATACACAAAGAGTTCATATTTTGTACAAAACCTATTTCGAGACTTAGAGAAGTAATGTATGTGATGATCCTGTAATGTATATAAAGAAACTATACATTGGAATAAAACATTTTTGATGCCACAAAAAAAAAATACATAAAAAAGTTTTAAAATGATTATTGTTATTAAAACTTATTAATGTATTGTGTTACAATAATTGCAAAGTCAGATGTAAATATAAACAAATAAAAAAGAAATAGACTATTATCCAAAAATATTTCCAATGGAGATGGAACCATGTAAGCACCATCTGTTGGGAGTTTTTTGAATTACTAATTTGTTTTTACATTTAAGAGTTACTAAACAAATGTATTATCATGGTATAAATAGATCAAAGTTAATATTTTATGGTAATTTATTTATAAATCAAATACAAAATTTTCTGTTACGTACTTCTCTTGATGTTAAATTAAAACATATAACATGAACCTTAAGGCACATGTTATATGTTTATTATTTAATAGAAGCCTGAGTATAATAAATTTCATATGTGCTAAATTTCTTATTCATTAACAGAAATAAATGTTTAAGTTATAACATGAATAAATATTAATAATGTTTTCTTGAATAAATATAATTCAATATTTGTTTAGGATTATGTTGTTATCTATTTTTATTGGATATGTCAGTTTGTTGTGATTTTTAAATATTGTTTTATTTTAGAACTCCATGCATTCGACTCTTATAAGCGAAACTCTCCCTTTCTTTAATATTTGTTTTTGATTTTTTTTTTTTAAAGATATAAAATATGTTATATCAATCTTAGAAAATTTTATTTTCTAAATTGATTTAAAAGTATATTATCTAAAGACAAAATAAAAACACTAAAATTCAAGAACGACTTTTAGGTTATTGAGCTTCTAATTTTAACACCATTTTTTCCAAATGCATTTGGAACATCTACTTTTCCTACCACGGACTGTCCTGCAATCAGTAGGCTTAATTGATTTAAGTAATTATTAAAAGTGAAATTAAGATAGTTAAAAAAATTGTATTCCTATGCTAAATGAATAACAAAGCTTATTACTCACTCATTTTTATTATCATATGTTAGAATAATTTGGAGATTAATAGTCTGAATAATTTTTTTTTCTTTTTTTTTCGGTTTTTGATCAAATTAATTGTATAGTGAATCACAAACTTCCGAACTCAGGAACAATAAGCAGTGCCAGCTTTAGGGCAGCGCAACCGGAGCCGAACTGGAGGGAGCAATCTTTCTCGGGGCGCCAACCGATCTTTAGAGGCACTCGCCACTTTTTATAAATTTAAAAATATATAAAACGTCTTAAAACAATTCATTTTAGCCTTTCAACAGGGCAACTGAATGAAAATAAATTCAAATATATTCTATATATATAAAAATGAATGTATGTCTGTCTGTCCGTCTGTTTGTCCATGGTGTATTACTAAACCATTCACTCCTGGAAAGGTTTCTGGAATATTACTTCTGTCTTACGATAATTTTATATATGTAAAAAAAATAAAAATGTAAATGTTTTCTGTTCAAAGCCGCGAAAAAATGTGTCGCTATAAGTTGTAGCGCCAAAACGGCTATACCGATTTTAACCAAACTTGGCTAAAGTATTCCCCTTGAAATCCTTTTCATTTATGTGTATAACATACTTTCCCGAAAACAAGCTGAAAAATGTTACGATGAATTCAATATTTTATTTGACGATAACTAAAAAAGTACAGAATTTTTGACAATACCCACATTTATTTAAAAGATTCCTGATTTGCTGAAAAAATAAAAAAAAACCATCGAAATCAGACGGTTTGGACTGCTTTCTCTTCAAAAAAGGCCATTTCCTTTTGCTTCCTCACTACCGAAGGTAGGTAAGCATTTTTTTATTTTTTTTTTTATTGATTAAAAAATTTTATAATTACTACAGTAATTGAAATTATCATTTGAAGAAGTTATATGATTCTCCTTATGTAGGTCAATACCATTATACGTTCTTTATATTAATTTTTTATTTTAGTTTTATAAGTTCAACTCAGACTGTTTCTGATGATTATGAATGTTAAATTTGAATCATGAGAAAAAAAATCATTAGAATCAGTTTAAATTGAGGCCATTTTACCGACAAATTTGTTTCTCAATTTTTTTAAAATGACAGATGTCCTTTTCTACTAATCTACTTACATGTGCTTTCTATTTTCTTTCTTTTTCATTTTGCCAGCCCAAGCCACAGCAGCGCGTGGCCGGGTAAAGCTAGTTAAATAATATAAAACTGCTTAAGAAATAAATTTAATTTTTTTAGGGAGGGATAGATGAAGTTATTGCCTGGGGGTGGCAAACATCTAAGGCCGGCACAGACAAGAAGCAATATAATTCAAAACATTTGAAAGACATTTTTAAATTAAAAAATTTACATGAATTCATTCATGATATTCATTTTTAAACAAATGAATTTAGTGAAAAATTAGAAAAAAAAACAATAAAAAATGACATGAAGATAATCACATCTCAATTTTAGATATCAGAAAATCAATTATTGAAAAACAATAAAACTACCTATTTTTTTTTGTTTTTTTTTCATCTATGCAAATCTTAGGATAACTAAAACGTTGGCTTGCAGAATAAAAACTTCTGTTATTATTTTAATTTTTTTCACAAACTAATTTCTTGATAATGAAACTAATAATAATATAGGCATTATTACTTACAATTGTATTGACAGGGAGCTGGATTGACATGTGCAGGAATCTGCCGGAAGCGATGAAAAGAACTTCTGAAATATTATGTAAAATCTTTTAGATACAAAATAAGAAAATTTTTGCAAAAATAGGCAATTGTCAGATTAAAATTAGGTAAAGTCTTTTGAAAAATTCGAGTTTACTTAATTTATGTGAGTTATTCGCATTCAAATGAATGTTCTCTCTAAACCTATGAAAATAAGATGATTTTTTGTAATGATTAAATGCTGATTTAATCAAGTTTTATTTTAATGTTTTCTTAACAATTAAATAACTACAACCAATTTTCAAAGCTAATAAAGTAAATAAAGTATAATTTATTAAAATGTTAGATGAGATAGAAATTTTTTTAAAAAATTATATTTATTTGCAATAAACAATTACTTTATTTGAAAAATCAACTTTTAATAAAATATTTGGGGACTTCAATGTATCAATCCGACATCTGAATCATCTGTACTGATTTAAATATTATAAGGAATGTATCAGGAAATATAACTATGTTGAAAATCCTGAATTTGTCGAAGATATATTACCTTTCATTCCTTAACGAAAATCTCTCTCATTACTATATATTGAAAATAATTTTCAAAGTATTCAAATTAACTTAGATTTTGCTATAATGAAAAATATTAATAATGGAATGTTTGCTTACAAACTACATTGCACATGACTCGAGGTATAACATCCTTATGATTAAATCATTTTTAAAGCAACAAATAAGGTAAAATTATAACATCATTTGGAATCGTAACATTCAGAAAAAAAATTACTTTTAGTACACTTAAATGTGTTTCTTAAAAGAACTCTACAACTGTGAAACATAAGTGATATCAACAAAGATGACTGATTTGAAGACCTAAGTATTTTATATTTTATTTTTATATGTATTTAATATTTTAGTGTAAGTATTTTATATGTTATTTAATAATTCTGAATAATTGTAATTAATGCTATAAACACATAAATTCTTTATTGTACGACATATTTGTACTAAAAATTATTACTTTTAAGAATTTTGGGATAATGTAAATGAAAACTGATTCCTTTTTTTATAATGATGGTATTAAAAGATGAGTATTATTGACAAATAAATAATTTAAACTGGTTCAATTCTACAAGGTCTTAGTAAAAAAATAATGTTTATTGTTATTTAATCTTAGAATTTTTGTTTGGTTTAATTTTTCATTGATTTTATAAAAAGGGCCTAAGCAACCAAAATTAAAGAACACCAACAAAGATGAAAAAGCGTTATTGAATAGAATAGTTTTAGATTATAAGAAATATTTTAGGATTACGGAAAACAAATAATAAATTAAACATTATAGTTTCACTAATATTTGTGTGTTAATTAACATTTACAAAGTTTTCACTGGTTTTTTTTTTTTTTTTTTTGTGAGAAAGCATTAATAATAGTGGTTGAAAAACAATGGATATAAAAACTTTTAAAGATGCGGGTCGGATATGATAAGAGAGACAAAATTGTTTATTTTTTTTTTAAACCAGATCATATGATACCTTTTCCACCAGCATTCAGAAAGAAGAAGAAAAAATCAAAATGGAACTTGTATGTTTAAGTTTGTATTTATATAAAATAAAATGGTCAAAAAGTTTATAAAATATTTCTAAATTAAATCTGTTTTATAATAAGTTATTTTACTGGCCAAATAGTTTGATAATTATTTTTTTTAACAATATCTAACAAACAAAAGTAACTTTGTAATCTTAGATTAACAATAGTAGTTTTAATCAGAGGTTGAAACTTCCACGGAACATTTTTGTAATAAAGTTTTAGATTAATGGTAAAAATTTATTTAAGTTCTTTAAAAAAGTTTTGTTAAATATGAAATAAACTGTAATAAGGTTTAGATTAGAATTAGAATTTATGTAAAATTAATTACTTGATTCCGATGTGATCTTTTTGTAGCTTAGAATATTAGTTATTTTTTAGATTGAAGTTTTGAGAAAATCAACAAAACTTTTAATTAACTATTTTTTTTTAAATATTCTGTAAAAAACCTTTACTTGAAAATTTTCAACAGAAATTGTTTTAGTTCTGCAAAAAAAAACAAAAAAAAAAACATAATTTAAAATAAAGATTTCAGTCATACCAAAGCTGATTAAAACTAAAAGTTGTTAAAAACAATTATTTGAAAATTTTTATAGGAAAAAGTTTCAATTTAACAGAAAAATAAAGATATTGCAGCCATATTGGAACTAATCAAGTTTAAAAGTTAAAATTTCATTTCAAATGTTGGTTTAAATAAACTACTTAAAACCAATTACAAATAAAAACTACATATATTTTTTAAATTTTAATAAATTGATATTTAATTTTCTTACCGATCAATTGAAGCTTTATTAGAAAATTGTTATAAGAATCCATGAAAACTGATTAGGAGCCCTTTTGAAGTCTTGAAGCCAATAAAATTTTTATTGCAACAAAACGTAATAGACATTGCTAGATTGTATTTTATATGAAATACACCACAATAATAAATTATTTTAAAGGTATTTCTTTTGAAATTAATTCAATAATAAATTAAAATATTATAATTAACTGAATGAAATATTACTATAATAGAACAGCCAGAGCTATCTGTTGGAGAAGAGTAGGAAACTTTTAGGGTTACGTGGCCCGCCCTTTACTTTTGTTGACAGCTGTAGAACAGGTTTTAGTTAGGTTACAAGTCTCGTGTTTAAGATTTTATTTTATAAATTGTTTTTTTTATATAAATATATATTTTTTGAAAAAAAATCGTACCAAAGATATTATATCAATTATATTCTCGAGGTGATGATAATATATGCCCAAATTGTGAGGACCAACGATGGTTTGCCCTTATCAGCTAACACCGATTTTAACGATGTACTTAATCAAAGTATTAAAGACAGCAAGAAATATGTAAAAATGCTGGCCTACAAGTCGCCGCAGTTACCAGAAAAATGTTCCCTGTATTTAGGAAACGTTTCAATATAGTGAGTTTGATGAAGTTTAAATTTGCAATGGAAATGAAGCTGTGATTATTATTAATATTAATTTTTTAGCCTTACATCTTGTCTGGGAATTTCCTATGTTGTTATGACTGAACCACATTACCCTCCAGCTTTAGCATATAGTTTTTTGAAGGAATTAATGATTGAGTTTGCTCAAAGATACAATCAATCAAGGGTTGAAATAGCTAGGCGACCTTATGAATTTATCGAGTTCGGTTAGTATATTCCACAAATCATTTTTTATCTCTATCCCATTCTATATTGCCAATTATTTCTCTTTAACCTTCTGATAATGCTTGTATACATTAATTTTTCAGACAATGTTATACATAAAACAAGGCTTGCTTTTAATAAGCCACAAAATTTGATGTCTCGGCTGAATTTAGCTGATGTAGAAACAGAATTGAGACTTCGACCACCCCGCCAGTTGTCGCTGGCAGATATCGAACCTGTTCGAAATGGCTATAGGCCGAAACCAGCCCTTCACTTAGGAGGTATAGAATCATTGAAATCATGTAATCAAATATTAAATAATTCTATTTATAAGTTATGCAATATTGAACCATTGCATTATAATTTTAAAGTTTAATTATGCAAATAAATTTGCATGTAATTTATGAATAAGAACAATATTCTCATAATTTAGGTTAAAATGTTTTATTTATTCAAAACACTGATTAATAATGTGATCTAACAATGATAGAAATATTATAATCTATTTCATTGATCCACCAAGACATTTCTACTCTCCTTGGTATAAAAACTGCATCATATATGACTATGGTAGGCTCCTCAGAATTTATTTAAACTGCTTGAATTTATAATTTTATAAACATATGGTAGTTATAGTAGTTGGTTTTGGAATTCAATCCAGATAATGAGGTCAAGGCTCCGTAAAATATAAATGAATGAAACACTAATTTATTGAGGAGTTACCTTTTATTTTACCAATAGTTAACCTACTCTTTAGGTTCTCATTTGTGTCAATTATAAAGGATGAAATTTTTATACGATGAAAATTTTATTTTTAACATGAAATCTCGTACAATCTCTCATCAATATTTAGTTCATATTTGATTTTAAACAATTATTTAGAATAATAAAACCGATTGATTATCAAATTATTTTATCGAGTAATGTTAGTTAAATTTTTTTATTGGTAAGTGTGGCTTTTAATTTGAAGTCTTTCTAAAGTTTGGACTTTTACAAAAATGCACTGGACTTTTAATGGACCTCAAAATGTCAGGAAAGTTTTTGTTATGATTCAGAATCAAGTTTGCATATACTTTTTCTAATTATATTCTTAAAACATTTTAGTAAGAGATTGTTTGTGTGCCATTACTTACAGTTTGAAATAAAAAAAAAAATGTTTTTGTCCAATGTGTTTAAAATGTTGTATGTTGTACCAATAATGTAAAATAATTATTGATAAATATCAGTTTATAAACATTTTTCCTTTTTTTTTTTTATTTTGCTTTATGACTTGGGAGTATAATTACATCTATATCTGTTGACAATAGATCATAAACTACTATTCAAAGTAGTTATTGCCTTTGTATATTATGGCTTAGTAATATTTTAGATGCAGGAAGTATTATAATTAAATTATAAATATCCCATGAAAACTACTTTCCTTATCTATAATTCTACCTAGCATGGCTGGTAAATTTAAGGAATTCTATGAACAATTTTTGGTAGTCATAAAATAATTTAATTTACTAGTATAGAGATTTTACATGGGCTGGTAAAATCTTTATTGTATAAATAGATTGTTTATAATTTTTTTTTTTATTATAATATGTAACAGTTGGTCCTCCTCCAAAACTTCAGCCTATATAGATATAGATATATAGCCTATAAATATATAGATATAGATCTATAAATAGATTGTTTGTAATTTTTCTTTTTTGTTATATTATGTAACAGTTGGCCCTCCTCCGAAACTTCAGCCTATTTCACCGTTTGCCTGGGTCGCCATGCTCCTTTCTTTTCTACTGATCTTATTAGGATTTTATAGAGGCATTTCGGCTCTTCAGGTTTCAACATTAGAGGTGATTATAATACTTAATATATTTTAAAACCATTTACATTACATATTGAATTGAATTTTTATTTTTTCAGGAATTTGACGGACCAAGCCCTATTCATGGATTAGTTTATCTTTTAGAAAGTTTTTTCAGAATATACCAGGTATGAACATTTCAATTATTATTAAACCTGTACCACTACAATCTTGGGTTCAGTACTATTTAAAGAAAGCACTGTTTTAAAGCACAGCTGTGCAAGGAGGTGATTTGACAGATCACGCTCAGCTGCCAGATTTTCCCACTTCACTAATTATTTAATAAGAGGTGCCCACGTTTTAGAAGCTGGGTGTGCCCCAAGAGTGTCTCCTGATACGGTGTTGCCCCACGGCCAATGAAACAGAATAAATAATTTTTCTTCCATGAGACGGGATTCAAACCTAGGACCTTTAGCATTGGAAGCTCAGAACGCTACCACTGTGCTACCCCACTCCCTCAATTATTATTATTAGTTTCTAAAAAAATTTGCAGGCATCTTGATCTTTAGCCAGCTTCTTTGACTGCAGACCAGCTCTGTCCAGCACTGCGCATTTCCATCTCTAGAGTCCTCCTCCTTGTTTCTTTAGGGTGTCTGCGTCTTCACTAACCTTGAGGGATCAACTTTATACTATGCAGTGTTAGAATGTTGTGTTCTTTTTTAAGCATATGGCCCAGCTATCTCTATTTCTAACAGTTAATGACCTGATCTATCAGGGCTTGATTAGTTCACGACCAGAGCTTGGCATTAAAGATTGTTTCAGGTCACCATTCCCGCTATATATTATGCAAACATCTATTAACGAATTTCTGTAGCTTCTTGGTAACTTTCCAAGTCTCGCTAGCGAAAAGCAGAACTGACAACATTTATTTTTAAGATGCTCCTGATTTCTTGTGATTTCCACTCTGGCCAAAGCTGTAGGAATGCTTTTTGGGCTTTCCTTATATGGTTCACAACATCTTTATCAGCCCCTCCATCCTGGCTCACCATACTCCCAAGTTAGCAGAACTTAGTAACCCTTTCAATTTATTTATTTGTTTACCTCTACTCGCAAGGGTCATTGGCAATCCTCAACTCACTCGCACTTTTTATATTCTATTGTAGAATCTAATTGTTTTCAAGAAGTCCAGTAAGATTTCCGCCTCTCTCTCAACATCCTGCAACACGTCCTGGATAGTCTCATGCATGCTAAGGTTCTTTTGGATAACCGCATAATGTGTGCAATCCACGAGTATTTGATTCACAGTTCTAAGAGAACCACATCTGACACAGGTATGGTTTTCTTAGAACTATGAACCACACAACCCTTTAAATTTTTTGATCTTCTTTAATAAGATTTTCTTGACTCCTACTATTCACTTGGATCTCTTTCGTTTTTGTAGCACTTATTTTGAGACCAGCGCTTTGAGCTTCCTCCTGGAATTTGTGTAACTTCTCCTGTATATCCCTGAAACCTTGGACGAAATAACATAAATCATCTGCAAAATCCAGATCTTCCAGTCTTTCTGTGAGCCTTCACTGAAATCCTTGTTCTCTATGAAGAACTCTCCTTAAAATGATGTCGAGTATCATTAGGAATAAGATGAGAAAGACATTTCTTTGCCAACAAAAATTCCATGTTAATTGAAATTGCTTTAATATTAATTGAGGCTTTAACAGCAGGGTAGGGCATATGCTTCAAAAGTTTGTTCTGGTTTATGAGGTGGCAAAGGTTTTCAATATTCTTTAAAAATATCTATGCTGCCCCAAATATTCTTCTGCGATTCTTTTACAAGGAATATTCCTTTATATAATCAAATTATATTCTAAACCAGTATTGAATATTTATATTATTTTCATTATATTGAACATTTATTCTTCTTTTAAAACTAGTTAGAAATTGATATTTAAAATAAAATAAAATATTTAATCCTAAATCAAAATAAGTTATCCTAATTTAATCATTTTTATTATAGTTAGATTCATGAATTTTTATTTATTTTTATTTTGTGAGTGGTAGGGTACTGAGCTTCCAATGCTAAAGGTCCCCGAGGTTCGAACCGCAGCTCATGGCAGAAAATTTATTTATTTGTTTCATTGGCCGTGGAGCGACCCTGGGTCGGGAGACCCTCCTGGGGCACACCCAGCCTCTATAAAGTGGGTACCCTTAATTAATTATTTAAAACATGGCGGTTGAGCGTGATCTCGGCCATATCGCCTCCTTGCACAACCATTGACCTAGAAACAGTGCTTTTCCTAAATAGTACTGAATGTCATGACCCTTCATGGGTTGTAGTGGTACAGTTTTTTTATTTTTTTTACTTTAAGAGAAGGATGGTTAGGGTGTTGATCAGTCAAAATAAAAATAGCAAAAATAAATAATAATATTTATTTTTATATTTGCCGATGACCAATGGTCTGTCCACGCATGTCAGATTGAACAGCCCTTATGAATGCCTGAACTTCGGACCAAACGTCAGAAAATGTATAAATAAATATTATTATTTATTTTTGCTATTTTTATTTTGATTGATCACCCCAACCATCCTTCTTTTCAATTATTCACTACAGTCAACCATCAAGCCACAATTATTTTTATTTTATTGTTATTTATTTTGTTATTGTGAATAATAATAACCAGGGTTCGTGATTATCATCATCTTCGATCTGAATTATTAAAACTACGTTTTATTGACCTAAATGTTATCTATATTTATTAATTAGAGGAAGTGAAGATGATGAGTAAAAATTATATTCCCTTGAATCGTGGGTAATTAGGACTATGGATTTGTCGCTTTTATACTTTTTCAGTCGAACTCGGCTATTTTTGGTATTTCATGTACAGTGTGATCATGTCATCAGCACCATGTTAAAGCAACGAATGTGAATCTTAGTCCGATATAAACTTTTGATTATGATTAATGTTACTAAAACAAGTACATATCTTACAAAGTTATAAATTCGTAAAAATGACATTACTGATTCAGGTCTTCCGATTTCTGTTCAGATTTGACACTTTGCCACATGATTGACCGTGGAGTACTATGGTACACCTTGATTCGACCTTCCATATTGGTGGATGGTTTTGACATTATCACTTTCACTCATCCTCAATAACTTAGCCATATCTGAATCTGAGTTTCTGAAATATTTGAGGATATGTTGATTTGTTTTTATACCTGATAACTCTCTTATAAATCCCATATGAAAAATCTGGGAATTTTTTTATTTTAAACACTAGGAATTATGTTGATGTTTTATGTTTTTGTATAATTATTCCATTAGTTCTTGGTAACAATTGAATTTATATTGAGAAAAAGTTTGATGATATAGTTATTTCCCTTACAAATAAATTTAAAAAATAAATATATATCCAATGGAATTCCACAATACTTCTAAAAATCAAGTAAATATTAATACAAAAATAGATATCAGTTAGTTCTTATGATATAATACGAAAATTTTTAATAGAAAAGCTCAAGTCTCTAAAATACTGTTAAAAAACTAACAAGTCAGCATTTTGTCTATTCAGACATCACCAGGGCAGAAAAATAATATGATATAAAACCAGGCATGATATAGTATAATATAGTACTCACATCTATTAGTAACTAATTTATGTTAATTAGTATTAACATACTAATTAATTTAACAGATGTAATCAATATCATGATAATCAAACTCATTCATATTCATAAACCTCATTATTATTATTATAATGGCACTGCGGTCCTGTCAAGAACTCGGGCCTCTACTACAGCCAACCGATATCCACGGTCTTGTGCTACTTCCCTCCATCTTCGAACGCCCAGCCGCATCAGATCGTCCTCCACATCCTTCAGCCATTTGATCCGAGGGTGCCCTCTACTTCTTTTGCCATCCGGCTTCTCATGCAGCATCCTCTTTGGCATTCTTTCCACATGACCTAACCATCTGATTCTGGCTCTTTTTATCAATGCCACAATATCAGGTTCTCCATAAAGTTCCCGCAGCTCCTCATTATTTCTTCTCCAAATTCCATTCTCAAAGATTCCACCCCATATTCTTCTCAATATTTTTCTCTCCCGGGAGTTGAGCGTGCATTCTGAGTTTTTGGCTAAGGTTCAAGTCTCACACTTAAAACCACTGGCCTTTCTTAATTTAACAAATTAATTTAACGGGTATAATCAATATCATGATAATCAAACTTATTCGTATTCATAAACCTCATGCTTTTCATTATTATTATTTTACACATATTTCTATTTATAGGGAAATTCAGATCTTAATACATATTTACTTACTAATAAAACTTATTTATTTATTTCAGCTCTATCTGTTGACATACAATTCTAAATATAGAACTGTAGAAAGCTGGGCGAGTGCGGTGGTGCTTTTGTTATGTATTTTTTTTCTCTGGGAATTACGTGATCCTTCTCAGCATGCCGTCTTCGTCGTATCTACTCTTCTAACCCTGGCCGCCACTCACTTTCGAGAACTTCAACCAATATTACCGGATTACCATGTATAATAATACCATGATAATAATAATGTTTAAGTATATGATAATGAAAATCAAAAAAGGTATTTATAATGTAATGTAAAAAAGTAATTGTAATTAATTTATTATAAATTTTTTAATTATAAAAAAAAGTTACAGGAGAAGAATCAAATTTGACTGCATTTTTACTTGGTAAATGAACTCTCAATTTTTATACATTGATAAACTTTATCTAAGTCATTTTTTTTCTTTTTTTTTATGTTTACTAGTATTAAAACAAGGTAAAGATACATATGACTATATTTTTATAAATAAAAAATCGATTTACTAGAAGAATTTTTCTGTTTCCTTCTTATATTATCTTTAACTAATTAAACATGTCCCAAAACTTAGATTCGGAGCAACTAGCTGGTAAATATTTTGACAGTCATTAGAAATAATTATGCTACTCAACAAAAATTAAAATACGACAGCTTAAGAAATTAATTTTAAATAGATTTTTTTGGAGTTGATTGGCACTTATACATGATTTCCCGAAGGCATCAATTGTCTAGGTACTACACTTTTAATGGAATAAACTGTCTATGATATTTATTGTTTATTAAATACATAAAAATAACAGAAACCCCATTATATAATAGGGTAAAATACAGATACACCGCATACAAAATGTTTTAATTTTACTGATGAAAAATTCATCAAGATAATTATTAATTTAATTTTCTAAAATGTTACTTAATGATTTTTTACAATAAATAAATGATAGGCAAATTTCATCGATAATGCCTTTTTCAACTACCCATCTTACATTTTATTTATTTATGGCGCTACGGTCCTGTAAGAACCTGGGCCTCTCTTATGATCCTTCGCCACTCTCCTCTATCCCGAGCGAGCATTCTCCATCTTCGAATTCCCATCCTTTTCAGGCTGTCCTCTACCTGGTCCAGCCATCTCAGGCGTGGTCTTCCGCTTCCACGTTTTCCAGCAGGCCGATCCTCTAGCAAGCGTTTGGGAATCGCGTCTCGAGGCATACGCGCCACATGGCCCAACCATCTGATCTGGTTTCCCCTCACAATTGAGACCAAATCCGGCCTCGCATACATTTCATACAGTTCTTTATTAGTGCGAATTCTCCATTGTCCCTGTTCGCACACCGGGCCATAGATTCTGCGGAGAACCCTTCTCTCCCATGCGAGTAGCCTTTTTTCCCGATGCTTTGGAGATCACCCAAATCTCAGAGCCATAGGTGACGATAGGTCTGATGACTTTCTCATACACCGTGATCTTTGTTCTGTGAGAAAAAGATCTGTAGTTCAATATTTTTCGAATTGCAAAACAGCTCCTATTCCCGGCAGTCATTCTTGCTTTTAATTTTGTTTTTCCCATCTTACATAGAACCTTGTATTGAATATTTATTCTTGTTTTCAAAACATCGAAGTTAATATTTAAAATAAAGTGAATACATATATATTTGTTTTATTTTTTAGTTATTTGTATTTCATGCAATTTGCAACTGACGGCAGCGCATTTAGCAAATTTGTTGCATTTATATTATTTTGGTGTATTTTCTTGATTTTGTTTTTATCGATTTAATAGGTCTCTTGGCAATTTTCTTTTTAATCTGTGTTGTTCAGGTAACAGGGAGCAGGAGATAGGATTTGTTGTGGATGTAGGATTTTACTGATCGGGTGTTTAAGTTGTTATGTATTTTATTATTTGAAATGTACCAAGGTGTGTTAACAATTTTTTGTAGAATTTTTTTTGCGCTGTTTATATTTTGTTTATGTGTGTTTGTTTTGTTGAATCCCAAAGTTCTGTTCCATATGTCCATATTGGTCTCAGTATGGTGTTGTAAATCAGTCACTTGTTTCACAAGTGAAGATGTGTAGTCCAGAAGAATATATCATATGTGAATTGAATATATCATCTAGTAATTTCTTGTCTTTTTAATTTTGTATTTATGTTCCAAGTAAGTCTTTTGTTTAAGTAGAGTCTGACGTACCGTACATAGTTCTTTGAAGGCATTGGGTTCTTAGCAATTGTTTTGGTTTGGCATGAGGCTTTCCTAAGAAAAAATTCGTAGATGTATTTCTGTTAAAAATTCAAATTCAAAATTTTTTGCAACTCTTTCTATTTATTAAAAATTTCACCTATAGTTTAGTGAAAGCAGAAAATATACATAGTGCAGTCTCAGTACCTGTATTAATTGCTGTAATGCAGTGTTTGGGAAAACTTCTTGAAATAAAAGATTGAAACTCAATATATATATATTACTTTACTCAATTACATACGTATGTATATGAGAAAGACCGGGCTTTACATTCTGACAGACAGCGAGCTCCCTCAGCTAATGACTGAACTGAACCAGCCTTACTTTAAGAACTTTGTGTACAGGTGGAAACAAGTTGTAAGTCCAACCCACTTCTTGTGCAGGAGAGAAGAAACCTTACCAGAGAGGCTACTGGACAGAAGATGAGAAGAAGATGGTGGCCAAACTGAAGAATGGCCTAAATTAGGCTGTGTTGACAGTTATTTGTTTAGATGTAAACTGGTTACAGAGCTGGGTGTTATTTGAAAACATTTTTATCTTGATAACAAATAATAGATAAATTTGAATATTTAATAGTTGACCGTTGCATTATAAAGGAAGGAGATGGTCCGGGGTGGAAGTCATAAATAGGCTAAATAATGGCAAAACTATTTTATTAAAAGTCAACGTTTTGACCCGACTTTGCAGGTCTTCTTCAGGGAGGTGTGTTCAGCTAGAAGTTTCACTTAGAACTCAGAGTTTTAAGTGAAACTCCTAGCTGAACACACCTCCCTGAAGAAGACCTACAAAGTTAGGTCGAAACGTTGGCTTTTAATAAAATAGTTTTGCCATTATTTAGCCTATTTATGACTTCCACCCCGGACCATCTCCTACCTTTAATAGATAAATTTGTTTCTATTTTCCATTTAAACAAATAATTTATTTGCTATTCGTTATCCACAGATAACCTGAATCATCTATTATTCCTTATTTAAAATAAAAATAATAAGTTTAGAACTAGCTTCTTGACCTACACTTCACAGATTTACAGAACAGCAAAAATTACCAACATATGAAAACTACAAAATTTTCAATCAAAAACAGGACTATAACTAAGCTCCATAGTACGTCACATACCAACAGTTAAAGGCCATAAACGGACATACTAAAAAATATTTCAGGATGATTTTCATGGACATTCTAACACCCCTACACGGGCGGATCTACGGGGGGGGGGAGGGGGGGGACTTTCGGGCTGAAGCCCCCCCAAAATGGTAAAATGTAACCATATTTTACAGAAAAAAATACTTTATACTATCTCTTAAAGTATTCTTGTTGGTGTAATTACGTTTAATAGGACTTCAAGAACCACTTAAACACCATTTCATATAGATAATTAATTAATTTCTTTTTTTTCAAATTAATTATCGTTGTATATATATATATATGAAAAAAAAAAACCGGTCGGGCTGAAGCCCTCCCCCCCAAAACTAAATCCTGGATCCGCTAGTGCACCCCTACAAGATATAGCTACAATTAATATGCCTTATAACAGGCTTAGGAGGCTCAACAAAAGCTGGTTGATGGATCTTCTCGCTTAAAAAGTATAATAAAATCAAGACAAGAAGGGAGGCCGCTGGGCACTATTCTCCCTTACACTGATCAATGCTAATATCAGTATTCTTCCCGACAGCAGACTCACTGATTGTCACTACTGATTGGTGATTAGGGGGCAGGGTGGCCGAATGGACTAACTCATGTGCGCAGCACCATGAGTTACCTAGCAATCAGGTAAACGAAGCTATGAGAGATTGAAAAAGTACGAGTTCGCGTCCCGGTGCCGGAAGGGATTTTAAATTTCCTGCCCTCTCCCCCTGTCAGCTCAGGAAAACTCCCTATAGCCTAAAAGGCGAGGTAGGGAAGAAATACAAAGAAAAAGGGAGAAAAAAAGGAATACTTAATATTTGACGGTTGTATTTAGAGGAAGGAGAGGGGGACGAGGGGCGGTCGTAAATAAATTGAAATAGTGGCAAAGCTATTTGATTTCAAGCCAACGTTTCAACCCGACTTTGCAGGCCATCTTCAGGGAGGCATGTTCAGCAAGGAGTTTTAGTTAAGACTGTAGTCACACTGTAAAACTGAAATTAAGGAAATAGGAGTATGAAGAATTTCCATTCGATTTTATTCTTTCACTTCGTGAATGGATGATCGGTTTTTCATCGTAATATCAACTTTTCGACTGTTCTGGGGTTGACGAAAAAACGGCGAAACCATGAAAAAAAATAGGTATTTTCGTCAACTTTTATCTCGTGAGATGGGCAATTTTTCGAATTATTATTCGCTCTTCCACTTTTATATCTTTTATGGATGACCGACTTTCCGTCGTTTCTGCAATTTTTCCGAATTTTTAGAAGTAAGCAAAAGGAAATATGGTTGTGAGAATTTTCATTCGATTTTCCTCTTTTATTTCGTAAATAGATGACCGATTTTTCACTGTTTCAACAACTTTTCGATTGTTCAGAGGTAGGCAAAAACGTGAGATAGAAAATTTTTCGAAATGTCATTAGGTTTTTCACTTTCATTTGGTTAATGGATGATCGGTTTTTCACCGTCCAAACAATTTTTGGATTGTTTAGAGCTAGGCGAAAATGGGTAAGCGGTGTTAAAAATTTTTCCGAATCAATTTTTCGATAAATCAGTTTTTCGACTATTTATAGAAGTAGAGCAAAGGATATAGTAATTTAAGAAAATAATTCGAGTTTTCATTTGCTTTTTATCTTTTATCTCGTAAACCGATGATCGATTTAACACCGTATCAACCATATCCCGACTATTATTTAGCGATATGCCAAAGGAAAAAGGTATTCAAGAGATAAAAGAGTAAATGGGAATAAAAATCCGGAAAAGTTTTAATACTATTACCGCATTTTTGACTTGCCCTAAATAGTCCAAAATTTGATTGCATGTTGAATGACTTATAGCTCATTCACGAGGAAAGGAA